GGAAGCGTTTTGGGCATCGATTGGTCACCGAAAAATCTCCGGAATGAGCTCTGCCGGGGCGCGAATAGGCGCCGGAAGTCCCGCGAGTCCCGCCCTGCTCCGTCTCCTGCCCAGTTCCAATTGGCTGGCTGTTACCGGCCCGGGGATGGGAGAGCCGGACCTGAGGACTGGAGGCATGTTGCCGTTCGCGGCTTTTTAGATCATACAGTTTTTCTCCGAGTTTTATTGCTTTTCCCGAAGGGGTCGAATAGCTGCCCTGGTTAGTGGCGAGGTTTGGCGCAGTCGCTGGCTGTGCATGGTCACGCCGTTTCGGTCTTGTTTAGCTCTCTCTCAGTCTGATTTGTGGCTGCGCACGGATATTCGCAGAAGTGCATGCAATTCATGTCCAGGGAGAGGTCTGTGAGTTAGCTGTCTTTCCCTGGACACTAACCTGTGTCAGGGAGCCTGGACTTGTGTATCGCTTCCTGTGACAAGACAGGTGCTGTTTGGGTACATTTGATCTCCTTGAGCCTTTGTGCGGAGTCGTGAGTGATGGGATATTTGATCTGAGTGGATTTTGTGAGCTATACTACAAAGCCCCTAGAATGTGTGTGCCTGTATTCCGGGGTGTGCACTATTGGAGCTTTCTGGCCTTTCAGTCCCTGGGTTTGAGATCTCTGTGTAGGCGTGTGCACCTGAGATTGTGAGACCTCTGAGTTTTTGATTCTGGTCCCAAGTTGTGATGTCTCTGAGCTGCTTTAAGGATGGGTTTGTCTAAAGGTGTGAAGTCTCAGCTGCTTGGGGATCTGTGCACAGGGTGCTGGTTTTCCATTTGTCTGGGCACTTTATCTAAAGATTGTATGATGTTCTTGAGTTATTAAAGGTTCTGCCTTTCCGTTTATGGTTTTTGTATTAGGTTGGTAAGTGTCGAGTGGTTTGGGAGTCAGTCTCCATGGTGTGAAGTATCTGTGCAGTTCTCATTTGTTTCTGTCCTGAAGACTTTGGTCTGTTTGGAGGGTCTTTGTCACAGCGTGTATGATTATGGTCTCAGTTATGCTTGAGAGTCTGAGACGAGTTGTGTGCTCTCTGTGCAGAGATTCAGTGAGTTCTTTTTGGTGTCTCTGGGTATCTGTCTGTGCTGTCTGGAGTCTCTGTGTGAGAAATAAAACCTCTTATGTTCTTGGCTGTGAGGTCTCTGTCCGGGAACTGAGGGTTTGGAAGCTGGCAGATATGATTCTGAGGCCTGGAACCTGACATGCTGACTGTGTGTTGTTGAGTGTATCAGTTGTCTCCTGGAATCTCAGGTTGTTCATAACTATTACAATGGGGCCAGTGCGCGTCTTGCCGGGTACCTGTGCATGTTAGCGATGTGTGTTGCCTGGCTCCAGACTATCCTTCAGCAAATGTTTTCTGAGCACCTGCCATAGACCTGAGCACTGTTGGAGGAGTTTGTGACAGGACAGAACTGACCAAGTCTCCCCTTTGATAGACTTGGTGGTCAGTAACTAAATCAAGGGCAGCGGGTACTATGAAGAAAGATAATGCTAGATCAGGGGAAAGGGTGTATGTATGTATGTATGATGTTATTATTTTATTCAAGGTAAGGAGGGAAAGTCTCCCTGAAAGATGGCCAGTAAGCAGAGATCTGGAGGAAGTGAGGGAGCAGGCCGTGGGGTTCCCTAAGCGAAGAGCAGTGCAGGCAGAAGGAACAACAGATGCAACTGTCCTGGCCTGGAAATCTGCTTGGCGCGCTCCTGAATGTCAAGGAGTCCTGCGATGCCCTGGGTTTGGCACGTAGCACTGGTCGAAAGGGGTCTGGTTTCTGCTGTCTCTGTTTCTCCCACAATTTGTGATCATCTGCATTTCACAAATGAAGGCCTGAAGGCTCTAATGTGTGCCCTGCACCTTCTCTCCTACCGATCCCTGAAATTAGGAGTGAAACCTTCTGGTCCATCATGAGAGAGAAAGAGAGAGACGGAGGGAGAGAGAGTTTGAGTGTCCCAGCTGCAGGGATGTCATGCTGAATGTCAGCCAAGCAGCAGAGATCAGTTATAATGTGGGAATCATGCCTCATAACATTGGTACTCTAGATGGAGGCAGGACTTAAGAAGGAGAAAGAACTGGGGCAAAGGACAGAGGCAGGAAGGGAAGTTGGAGGACAATGAGAAAAAAAAGCAAAAACGACTGGCTTCATCACATTGCTTGGGTTTGGCCCAGTTCACGTTGATTGGCTGAGTGTATTAGGACGTACTCACTTTCTTCTGTCCCTACCCTTTCTTTCCCTTCTCTTTTTTGTGCCTGAGCAAGTCAGTCCTAGAGCCGTTAGGTGTTGCCAGAAAGGCATGTGTATGTGTAAAAGGGCATCCCTGCCTGGAGAGTCAGAGCCAAAGGTGGAAAGAAGGATATCCCTGCGGATTGGGTTGGAAGGAGGCTAACTGCTGCATGGATTCAAGCTTGAGTGAGGTGTGGAAGTCAAGGGCAAGGGATGGTTCTGCATAGATTGTGAGGAGGACCCTGTTGTGGAGCTGGGATCACTTACATGCACTGGGATTCACCAACTCAGCAAATGCATAAGAATGCTGAGAGCCATGTCTGTCATTTTTGGAAAAGGGAATTTCCAGTATGGAAAGGAAGTAAACTAGAACACATCTGAGGAATTCTACTGGGATTAAAGGTCTCCATGCAAACTTCTTCTATTCAATAGGTGTGCATATGTGGGTAGACTAATATATAACTATAGAAGTGTGTCTATGTGTTTGTGTGTGTGATTGTGTACACACATATATTCCCAAGTTACTGGAAACAGCAACATTCCAACGGCAATAATTACACCAGTCCCCAGATCCTAGGTTCTGAACCCCTTTCTCCACTAAATGATGGGTTCCCAGGCTGAGGAAGGAAAGGATAAATGAGCCTGGTTCACCTTGTCATGTCAGTAACAAGGGAAAGTTCAAGAATGATGTGGAGATGTCAGAGGGACACAGAATATAGCTTGAATGCTCTCCTGGACACATTCAGGACTCTCTTATTTTTTCCACCTTTTTTCAGGTATTATTGACATGTAACCTGTAAGTTTAAGATGCCAATGTGATGATTTGATACACATATACTTGGCAAAACGATTACCACAGCACGGTTGGCACTCTATGCCCTCACATTATCCTTTTTAAAAACTGTTGAGGAAATAATATCTCAGAACTACCCTCTTAGCTTTCACTATACTATAAAGTTTTGTTAATTATACTCACCATGCTATACATTGGATCCACATAACTTATTTTTCTCATACCTGTATGTTTCTACCCTGTATTCAGCATTTTGTGCAGGACCTGGAAACCACCATTGTAAACTCTTGGAAATTTCTGTAAGTTTGACTTTTTTAGGTTCTGCATATAAGTGAGAACATACAATGTATGTCTTTCTCTCTTTCACTTTTTTCACTTAGCATAAAGCCTTTGAAGTCCATTCATGTTGCAAAAGGCAGAATTTTCTTCTTTGTGACTGAATAATATTCCATTGTGTATATCACCACATTTTCTCTTTTCACATTAATTTATTTTAATTGCAGGATAATTACTTTACAATGTTGTGATGTTTTTGTCATACATCAACATGAATCAGCCATAGTGATTCACGTGTCCCCACCATCCTGAACCCCCCTCCTACCTCCCTCCCCACATTATCCCTCTGGGTTGTCCCAGAGTACTGGCTTTGGGTGCCCTGCTTCGTGCATGGAGCTTAACACTGCTCGTCTATTTCATCTATGGTCATGTACATGTTTCAATGCTATTCTCTCAAATCATCCCACCCACTCCTCCCACTGAGTCCCAGAGTCTGTTCTTTACATCTGTGTCTCCTTTGCTGCCCTGCATGTAGGGTCATTAGTACCGTCTTTCTAAATTCCATGTATAAGCGTTAATATACAGTATTTCTCTTTCTCTGACTTACTTCACTCTGTATCATAGGCTCATTCACCTCATTAGAACTGACTCAAGTGCATTCCTTTTTATACTTGAGGAATATTCCATTGTATATGTACCACAACTTCCTTATCCGTTCGTGTGCCAGTGGGCATCTAGTTGCTTCCATGTCCTGGCTATTGTAAACTGTTGTGCAGTGAACATTGGGATACATGTTTCACTTCTAGTTTCCACAGGGTGTATGCCCAGCAGTGGCATTGCTGGGTCACATGGCAGGTCTGTTCCCAGTTTTTAAAGGAATCCCACACTGTTCTTTGTAGTGGCTATACCAGTTTGCATTCCCATCCACTGTGTAAGAGGGTTCCCCTTCCTCCACACCCTATCCAGCATTTGTTGTTTGTAGACTTTTTGATGGTGGCCATTGTGACTGGTGGCGCCACGCTTTCTATATCCATTCATCCCTTCATAGACACATAGTTGCTTACAACTTTTGGTTGAAGCTACAAAGTAAATTTCAGGTTAGTGTCACTCCTCCAATGTTGCATTTCAGAATCATTTGGCTATTCTAGTTCATTTGCCTTACCACAGAAATTTTATCATCAATTACTCTATATGTACAATAAAGTCCTGCTGGAATTTCTGACTGGAATTGTATGAAAGTGATGGATGTGTGTGGGGACTACTGACATCCTAATTATGTTGAATTTCTCAACCCATGAACACACCATGTGCCCCCATTTTGTTAGGTCTTATTTAAGGAACCATGTTGCATTACCTTTTCTGCCATTGTTTTATCAAATCTAATTCTCATATATCGAATTCTGAAGATCTGGATCTGATGAAGATATGAAAGTAGTAGTAGTCAACGTCATCAGTAATGCTTTATTTCTTCTGTAGTTTTTACATTGCCCGTTTATTGTGTTTCTTATTTTTTTCTGCTAATATTCATGATTGTCTAATCCAAGGGTGATGGTTTGGGTATTTTCTGGGGTAAATTGTGAAGAGATGTTCAGCTGTGTTTTGGGACAGAGAGACTGAGGACAGTGGCACGGGGGAGAGAGAGCAGAGTAGGGGTGGGGGAGGTGAACGTGTGGGGGCAGGGACAGGGGGCTGCTAGTACAAGCGGAAACAGAAGTGAAGACACAAGAAGAAGAGCTCCCCTTCTGCACTGTGCTGAGCTCTCCGTACGTATACGCATAATGAAGTCTTTGAGTACTCATAGCATCACTGTGAGGTAAGCATCTGTAATGCTATCATCCCTTTTGTCGGCTGAGGAGCAGAGACACGAACATGTTAATAGGTGAATGCATCTGCACAAAGTCACCTAGCTGGCAAGAGCTGAGTCAGATTGGTGCCCAGGCCAGAGAGAAACAAACAGGTGTGGGATCTGACCCCCAATCTGGAATACACTGCAGTCTCTGATGTACTCTGGTCAAAAGGCAGATCAACATGTCCATCTGCATGAAACATTACTATGGATCTGTGTATGGATTGGACACAGTTTCTCCTAAGTGTGTGAAAGACCATGGGGTGTCATGTCAACATGCACACATCACAGAGAACAGTTCCTGGTCCATACTGAGGTCTAAACGTGATTCCTCTGACCAACTTTAGTGGAGCACCCTCATCATTATGGAGAGTAGCATAACCATAATATAATATAATGATAAACAGACAGAGCAACAGATAATATCATGAACACATTACCTCCCCCATCTCATAATTTTCTTAAATGCAGAGAACAAAACCTAGAAGGCAATAGACCCCATACTAAGTTTTTTTTCTCTTAAGTGTGACATTCTAGATAGTATCCAAATAACATTTTCTTAGTATTGTAATTTGTTGTATCTTCATTGTTACAGAGGCAGTTTTTCTATTATAATTGAAAAATGGACTTTCTGAAGACTCGTTCTCCTCAGGTATCTTGAGGTTTCAGAATTTTAAAAAGGTGTGTTGGTATCCCTGCGAGGTAAAAACCAGATCAGTGTGCTGAAGTCAGAAGTAATATCTTTGGTACAGTAGGTGGGGGCTGTGGGGAGTAGAGAGATCCTGATGGAAGGCTAGCTGAGCCTGCAAGCATCAGACCTTTGCTCTTTTGGCTCCCATGATGCAGTGGGGCAGCTTGTGGCGCTTATAACCCAGTCCTGCTTTGACCCAGGCTGTGGATGAGAGTCACAGCCTCCCCTGCAGCACCGCCCCCTTTGTGGGCGATCTGGAGCCCTTTTTGTGATATCTGGGAGTTGACAGATTCCGAAGAGAAAGGAGAAAGAAGATACATGGCGCAGGGCGTACTTGCACCCACCCCGTGCATGTGGTGCTAGAGATGTGCTAGAGATGCCTGTGCGGCTTCTTAAAGGAACCAGTTGGGGAGGAGCAGAGTTGGAATCAGTGACTCAAGGAAGAAATGTCGAAGTGAATGTAAATTTCGGGAGAAAACACATTGAGAAGGGTAAGCACCTACAACTCCCAATTCTGTAGCAGGGGAGGGTGCTCCATGACTGTTGTGAGAAGGCTGCCTGGTCTGAGCTCTGGGAGGGTGTGATGAGCATTCTAAGGACCCGCCATCAACCTAAGCAGGGGGTGCTGAGTGTATGAAGACATAAGTCTCAGCCTTCACCACTGACAGACACAGAAAGCTTCTTAGCCCCGCTGAGAGTGGGGCAGTGGCACCTTAGAGAAACTCAAAGGAAAGGTGGAGGTGGTCGTTGTTGTTCAGTCGCTCAGTCGAGTCCGACTATTAACGAGCCCATGGCCTGCAGCACGCCAGGCTCCTCTGTCCTACACTATCTCCCTGAGTTTGATCAAATTAATGTCCATTGTGTTGGTGATGCTATCTAACCACCTCACCCTCTGTCTCCCCCTTCTCCTCCTGCCTTCTATTTTTTCTAGCACTAGGGTGTTTTCCAATGAGTCAGCTATTCTCATCAGGTGGCAAAGTATTGCAGCTTCAGCATCAGTCCTTTCAGTGAGTATTCAGAGTATTTAGTATTCATTTCCTTTAGGATTGGCCGGGTTGTTCTCCTTACTGTCCGAGGGATTCTAAAGGGTCATCTCTCTAGCACCACAGTTCGAAAGCATCACTCAGCCTTCTTAATGATCCAACTCACACATCTCTACACAACTACTGGAAAAACCATGCTTTTGACTCTGCAGACCTTTGTCAGCAAAGTGACGTCTCTGCTTTTTAATATGCGGTCTAAGTTCATCATGGGTTTCCCCGGGGGCTCAGTGGTAGAGAATCCGTCTGCAATGCAGGGGAATTAGGACACCTGGGTTCAATCCCTGGGTCTGGAAGTTTCCCTGGAGGAGGGCATGGCAACCCACTCCAGTATTCTTGCCTGGACAATCCACTGGACAGAGGAGCCTGGCGGGCCTTGGTCCATGGGTTCGTAAAGAGTATACTGAGAGACATCTCCTCCCAAACAGAATCTCTGTCCAAAGGGCTGTCTCTCTAGCTTTACTCATCTCAAGTAAAATCTGTTCCCTGGCCTCAGAAGCCAGAAGATAACAAAGGAAACTTGAGGCAGTGATACTTTAAGCAGCGATTTGTTGCGAGATCTTTATTTGTTTGGGCCAAGTGACTGCAAGGAATGAAATGGGGTAGGGTGATGAAGGAAATGAGACGATGAAGTTATTGCCCCATCCAACTCACTGCCCCCAGGTAGCTGACTTCAGTAGGGCTGGCTGGTGTCAATGGCGCATGTAGAGGCTCACTTGTAACAACATCCTGTGTGTGGTATGAGCAAGTTGGTGGGCAAATCAGACAGCATGGCCAAATATTCATTTCTCAGAGTGGATGGAGGGAGAAGAGAAAAAAGAATGATAATCCATGGGTTAGTTGTGAGTCAGTTTCTAAAATCTCAGTATTTCTTCACAAGGTGTGTGTGTGTGAATTCTTTTCTTTATCTGAGAATTGGCTTTGTAGGTGAGGAAATTTCGTGAGAGACTCCTTGTGACATGTGACAACAGGTTGGGAGTGAATTAGGTTAAGGTCATTTTCCAAGTGTTTCACACCAAGTGTTTGTTTAAGGGGATAGCAGTGCCCTTAAAGAACGGAACTAAGTGGTTGAAATACAGGTTTCAGTTCCTGAAATATGAAGCGACTCTGGGATGTGTATTCATCCTAGCCAGTGGTCACAGGCAACTCATAGACTCATAGGACTTGAACTGTGTCTTCTTAATGTCTTTTGCTTTATGCCCTTGAATGTGGTGGAGGCCTCAGTTCCGGTGACTAAAGTTCCTAAGTAACAGTTCTCTGAGAAAAGTAGCTCTCTAGAAAAGAGCAGTGCCTGGGAAGCTGATCTAAAATTTTAATATAGCCTGTGATGTAATTTTTATTAGCTTCACCCAAGATATGATCATTCAAAGATCTAGAGAGATGCACCTACTTTGGAATCTACCATTGGATTTTTCAAATGAACACACAGTAAGACTGGCCCGGTTTTCTTTCTTATTATTTATTTATTTATTTATTGGTGGCTGCACTGAGTCTTTGCTGCTGCTCGAGGCTTTCTCTAGTTGTGGAGAAGGAGGACTCCTCTCTAGTGGCGGTGCATGCGCTTCTCATTTCGGAGACTTCTCTTGCTGCGGAGCGTGGAGTCTAGGCTCGAGGATTTCAGTAGTCGAAGCAGGTGGGTTCAGTAGTTGTGACACACAGTCTTAGTTGCCCTGCGGCACGTAGAATCTTCCTGGAGTAGGGACTGAACTCCTGCCCCATTGCATTGGCAGGTGGGTTCTGTTTTATTATTTTAATCATTAATTTATTTTAATCAGAGATGCATTGGCAGGTGGGTTCTGTTTTATTATTTTAACCATTAATTTATTTTAATTTGAGAATAATTACTAAACCATATTGTGATGGCTTTTGCCATATATCAACATGAATTGGCCACAGCTATACATGTGTCCTCCCCTCCTGAACCCCCCTCCCCCCTCCCTCCTCACCCTGTCCCTCTGGGTTGTCCCAGAGCACCAGCTTTGAGTGCCCTGCTTCATGCATTGAACTTGCGCTGTTCGTCTGTTTTACATATGGTAATGTATAGGTTTCAATGCTATTCACTCAAATCATCCCACCCTCCCCTTCCTCCACTGAGTTGAAAAGTCTGTTGTATAGGTCTCTGTCTTCTTTGCTACCCTGCAGGCAGAATCGTTGCTACCGCCTTTCTAAATTCCATATATATGCATTAATATAAGTATTTGCCTTTCTCTTTCTGACTTACTTCTCTCTGTATAACAGGATCCACGTTCATCCGCCTCATTAGAACTGATTCAAGTGTGTTCCTTTTTAATAGCAGAGTAATATTCCATTGTGTATATGGACCACTACTTCCTTATCCATTCGTCTCCTGATAGACGTCTAGGTTGCTCCAATGTCCTAACTATTGTAAATAGTGCTGCAGTGAACATAGGGGTACATGAGTCTCTTAAGAAACACGTGTACCCCAATGTTCATCGCAGCACTGTTTATAATAGCCAGGACATGAAAGCAACCTAGATGCCCATCAGCAGACGAATGGATAAGAAAGCTGTGGTACATATACACAATGAAATATTNCCATAGTGGCTATACCAGTTTGCTTTCCCACCAACCATGGAAGAAGGTTCCCTTTTCTCTCGACCCTCTTCAGCACTTATTGTTTGTAGACATTTTGATGATGGCCATTCTGACCAGCATGAGATGATACCTCATTGTGTTTTTCATTTGCATTTTTCTAATAATCTATGATGCTGAGCATCTTTTCATGTTTATTAGCCATCTCTATATCTTTGGAGAAATGTCTGCTTAGGTCACTAGCCTACATTTTATTGGATTGTTCATAGTTTTGGTATTGAACCACATGAGCTGCTTGTATATTTTGGAGAGTCATTCTTTGTCAGTTGTTTCATTTGCTATTATTTTCTCCTATTCTGAGCACTGTCTTTTCACCTTGTTTATAGTTTCCTTTGTTGTTCAAGAGCTTTTAAGTTTAATTAGGTCCCATTTGTTTATTTTTGTTTTTATTTCCATTACTCTGGGAGGTGGATCCTAGAGGATTTTGCTGTGATTTATGTCAGAGAGTGTTCTGCCTATGTTTTCCTCTGAAGAGTTTTGTAGGATCTGATCTTACACTTAGGTCTTTAATCTGTTTTGAGTTTGTTTTGAGTTTCCATATGGTGTTGGAAAGTGTTCCAGTTTCATTCTGTTACATGTAGTTGACCAGTTTTCCCAGCATCACGTGTTGAAGAGACTGTGTTTCATCTATTGTATATTGGTGCCTCTTTTGTCAAAGATAAGGTGTTCATAGGTGCAGGGATTTATTGTTGAAATTTCTGTTTTGTTCCACTGATCTATATTTCTGTCTTTGTGACAGTACCATACCATCTTGATGACTGTGGCTTTGTAGTATACTCTGAGTCAGAAAGGTTGATTCCTCCAGTTCCATTCCTCTCTCTCAAGATTGCTTTGAGCATTCTGGGTCTTTGGTGTTTCCAGACAGACTGTGAACTTATTTATTCTAGTTCTGTGAAAAATACCATTGGTGGTTTGATCAGGATTGTGATGAATCTATAGATTACTTTGGGTAGTAGAGTCATTTTCACTATATTCAGTCTTCACTCCAAGACCATGGTACATTTCTCTATTTGTGCTATCTTTGATGTCTTTCATCATTTTTATTTTAATAGTTTTCTGTATAAAGGACTTTTGTTTCTTAGCTACATTTATTCCTAAGTATTTTATTGTTTTTGTTGCGATGGTGAATGGAATTGATTCCTTAATTTCTCCGATTTTTCATTGCTAGTATATAGGAATGCAAGGAATTTCTGTGTGTTAATTTTATATGGCACGCATATTCTAAACCACTGGACCATCAGGGAACTCCTGGCCTCCTTGTCTTTGGCTGTGAAGCTCTCTGAGATCTGACACATGGCGAATTCCAGTGATCACTACCATGACCAGGAACAGGCCACGTCCATCACCCTGAAAATGCCCAGGTGCTGCCCCTTTCTGGTTTCTCCTTCCACACCTGAATCCCTGGCAAAAGGATCTGTCCTCCTTCATTACATTTTGGCCTATGCAATTTTAAAATTCCTTACGTATTCTGAATATAAGACCTTTCTCATACCTGTGATTCAGAAACATCTTTCCCTTAATAACAAACAGCTTCCCTTTTCATTGCAGGAGATGGGACTGATGCAAACAACTTTTCCTCTCCACACATAGAGCCCAATGTTGTGTAGCCAGCAAGCGCCCGTGAGAATCTTCAGAAGTGAAAAGGAATCCTGCTGTCTGTTGGTCTGTGCTCTCAGCTAGCCCCCAGAACTATATTTCTCATCTCTGATTCCCCTACCTGAAGGGAAAATATAATAGAACTAAGGACAGGTGCTATATCTTTTGCCGTGTTTTTCCTCACACCAGTATTTGCAGGATTAACCAAGAAATGACCAGCAGTCTGTTCTCAATATATACCTGTACACCAAATGAAAAGTACCAGATTTGTTCCAGGTGCTTTACTTTAAAATTGTGTTGTGTCACAATACTGATACAGTGGATGAATTGTTTTCTATGTGGTATTCTCCCTTGTCATTTAGCATCTTATTTTAATAACTATGTTACTATACATTTTTTAAAAGTTTTCAGACTAGTTTACAGTCATTTGGGTTTCCCTGGTCGCTCAAATGGTGAAGAATCTGCCAGCAATGCAGGAGACCTCGGTACAATCCCTGTGAGACCCAGGGTCAATACTTGGGTCAGGAAGATACCCCAGAGAAGAGAATGGCAACCCATTCCAATCTTGTTGCCTGGAGAACCCCCGTGGATATAGGAGCCTAGCGGGCTACAGTCCAGGCGGTCTCAAAGAGTCAGACAAGGCTGAGCAACTACACTTTGACTTTACCCTCATTCCCATTATTTTATTTCCTTCTCTTATTGGGGAT